TTCACCCATGTGTGTATAGTGTCCACAGTAAATAATTTATCTCTATGTGTGAAATAATATCGAGAAAAATTTATTATGAATAGAATGTTTGGGTCTTCCCGACTGAGACTAAATTGGATTTGGTTTATTAACTGTATATAAACAGTTTGTAAGCTAATGTTGATCAACCTAACATAGTCTGTGTTAACTTAATACTCTAACAATCATGACCTAATTTAATGTAGCTTAACCTATACTAATCTTTCTGAAGTTGATTAGATTCGTTTAGGTAAGGACTATTGGTAATTGGGCCAATTAGGATTAGGGCCTATTAGGAATAAGGACCAGTTAAGAATAAGAGCCCATTTAAACTGGGTCCCACTATGATGGTAGTAAGGTTAGGTTAGGTTAGGATAAAGCCCATTAGAACTGAAGCCATATTTAACCAGTCAACAAAATAGTTCACGACTGACCAATCCAGCACAACCAGGCGCCATAAAAACATATATAAATATAACTTGTAATATTTATACCACTCTGTTAGTATGAATATTTTAGTTAGCCGTGTTAGCAACCGCTTCCCCTAGTGACAACTAACGCCATCAACCACCAGTGGCGGCTCTGACAACTAACGCCATCCTATATTTCTTCGGATTTTATTTTCTTTCGATTTATTATTATTATTATTATTATTATTATTATTATTATTATTATTATTATTATTATTATTATTATTATTATTATTATTATTATTATTATTATTATTATTATTATTATTATTATTATTATTATTATTATTATTATTATTATTATTATTATTATTATTATTATTATTATTATTATATTATTAAACTCAACACAAGATGGAGAACTAAATTAACTTTGAGCATATTTCGTCAGTCATATGCTGTTATTGTTGCAACCATAAAACAATATTAGTACAGCATTTACGTAGAGTTCACAGTTAAAAACCAGTCGTGATAAGTTATGCGTCGCTGAGACTGGTCAATATAAACACGTGTCTGCAAACATAGTATTAGTAGTTGACAAAGAAGTTGATAATATTAACCTTTGTTGGTGAGGTAGCAAGTAAGAGTGACGGGAGGAATATGATTACAGCGTATGGTGATACTACATGAGGGGTAATAATGTATTTTTTTTTTAATAGTGAAAATAATAATTGAATATATTATAAGTCTGCCTTGATGAGCAAATGTTAATGTTATGGTAATCTTGGTTTGGTTAAATTATCGTATATGTTGAAATAGAAAATTGAATAAAACAGAGCTTGTTTATGTGCGTGGACTGGTGTGGGTTTTTTTTTTTAATATTTATTCAAACTGGGTTGATTTAGTAAAGGAATACATCTTGCCTGTGAATAAAGGTTTTAGGGTCAATTGCAAGTATTGTTTGTGATCAAAGTTTTCCTCGAGCACACACAGACACACACACACACACACACACACGCACGCACATTCTGCTGCTGCTTGCTGTAGGGTCACGCAAGATGTGTCAGAAGTGTGTGTGTGTGTGTGTGTGTGTGTGTGTGTGTGTGTGTGTGTGTGTGTGTGTGTGTGTGTGTGTGTGTGTGTGTGTGTGTGTGTGTGTGTGTGTGTGTGTGTGCCTCGCTTAATATCTATCTTTGAACTGTTACTAACACTCTTTGAAAGGTTTTGAGGCAAACACTCCCCACAGTGAACAAAACCTGTTACAACCAATCACAACCTTACTCAGGTCTATCACAACCAATCACAACCTTACTCGAACCTATCACAACCAATCACAACCTTACTCGAACCTATCACAACCAATCACAACCTTACTCGAACCTATCACAACCAATCACAACCTTACTCGAACCTATCACAACCAATCACAACCTTACTCGAACCTATCACAATCAATCACAACCTTACTCGAACCTATCACAACCAATCACAACCTGTCACAACCTGCCTCAACCTTGCTCAGGCTACCGTATATTTACAACACATTTAGTAGCGTTACATTAACCTAACATTGATTTAAAGCTCAATATCAGTTACTCAAATAAATTATAAAGAGATTTGATGACTTGGGCACGAGAGTTGGAGGTGAGATCTGAGGGGGAGGGGGAGGCAGCTGGGGGAAATGGGGGAGTGAAACTTGGGGATGGGAACGGGTGGAGATTAGAGCTAAGGGGGTGAGAGTTGGTGGGGGGAACAAGAGGGGGTGTGTGAACTGAGGATGGAGGGAACAGGAAGGGGGAAGGGGGGTGTCAGGTAGGAATGTGACCATGGGAGAGGTGAAGGTCAACACTACATAAAACATAAGAGGAGTCACATGTCCGGATTAACATATGACCTACAGTCTATGATAAAACACACAATGGCTCAACACTGTCTGTAGCATAGTTTGTTTATCATTGGTTGTTGTGTTTAGATTAATATACCTTCTCGCAGGGTAAAAGTGTATTGGTGATATATCTTGAAACGGCCTGAATTATGTGTGTGTGTGTATGTGTATGTGAGTGTGTGTGTGTGTGTGTGTGTGTGTGTGTTTTAAAAAGTACGTATCGAAGTTAATCCATTATTAATTCCTTAGTCACGAAAAACACACTTCTTATTACAGTCACAAGTATAAACAATAGAGTTTCTGATTCCAAAATATTACTAACTAGATATTTTTCACCATCTTACCTCAGACAAGACAAACGAACACCTCCCACTACACGATTACAAAACAATATTATTTTCACCTGTATTCTGTAAAAGATCATAAATTAGGAGAATTACACTACAAAATACTTTACTGTACAGATATGGATTTTCAAAGGCTCTTAAGTTATATTTTACTCTCAATTGATGGCGTGATAATGTGTATAAGTAGGTTTAGATACGAAATATAGTATATATAGATTCTCAAATCCATTTAACTTCCTCACGTATGTCAGATTATAAGTGATGTGGTGTAGAAATATCGCAGATCCTCTACAGCAACTACGTGTTATTTTCCCTCATTCCACCGTTTATATTTTTATCTATCTTAATTGATCCAATTTGGCTCGTTCTCACACCATCTGAGAAATAGAAGATGATTCAACGTATATTTAAGAATTGATTTTTGTGTCGTAGTTTAAGTAAGCCAATTTAGTTGTGTCTCGCATATATCCAATTAAAGGACAGTATATAGCATCTACGTGTGGGTCCTACATATGATAGGTTTACATATAATAACTTTGCTTTTCATCACGTATTATATCGGAACAACAAAAAACAAAAAAAACATGATGGATAATGTACAGTGAAACCTTTATATAATGAACTATATGGAGAGGAAAGTTCGTTATATAGAGGGTGCGCTAAATGTGACACCTCCATCTAACGGATTATAAGAGAGAAGTCCGTTATATGGAGGTTTCGCTGCGCCTATTTTCTCAGCAGATATAACGATCATATTATTTTATCATGTTAGTACTGCCACGCTTTACCAGAAACCAATACCAGTACTGTTACAAACACAGTGCCAGCACGAGCAGTTAACAGTGCCTGGCGTTCATCTATTACAAGCTTAAAATTAATACTACCCTTACTGCCCTAACCTAACCTGATCTAACCTAACCTAACCAACCACCAACCAAACCTAACCAACCAGACCTTACCTAACCTACCTAACCTTACCGAACATAACCTACCTAACCTTACCTGACCTAACCTTACCTAGCCTAACCTAACCTAACCTAAACTAACCTAACCTGACACAACCCAGTGAAACAGAGCGAGTTTGTCTCCACTAAGTAATTTCCATTATTGTTGTTATTGTGAAAACTTAAAGTAATCCTTAAATAACAATAGATCAGTTAAGTTTCACTGACTAAAGGGGCATATGTAGGTTAATAAAGTTTTTCGACATGCCGCTCTTACAGCAAAGTTAACATTCCACCAAAACCATTCCACTGTGTGTTGATTTTAATCATCGCCAAAATGCGCCTCCTCTCTTTATTAATTTAAATCTCCGCAAAAAAGTAGTTCTTTCGTCCGCTAATTTAAGTTCCGGAGAAAAATTTCACCCGGCTGTACACACATTTCGAAACCCGAATAAGAGAGAAAAAAATCGCTGGAATCGTTTCAACTTAGGGTAGAGTTGAGGTGGGTAATGCGGGTCAGTAGTGTGCAGACCCCTTGTGTTGTGTTCATAGTATGTGATATTTATGTTATATCTGTGTGTTTAGCTTTAGTTTTTGGCACTACAATAAAAAATTTCGAAAAATTATAAAATAATTAACAGTAAATATTGTATACTGCATTTTAAAGATTTTTGTTGCTACTAAAACAGTAGAGTTTATACTTACACAGGTATTAATCACCAGTTACCTGTTAAGTTAGTCTATACAACACATGAGGATTGTGTAATATTGTTGATATATTCTAGGGGCTATTACCATGTACTTCACCACAGTCTGTTTAAATATCCCATTATAAACATGATGAAGTCACTCCGGGATATGACCTCTCATTTAGCCGTGAAAATTAGTTAATGATTCGCCATTAATTAATGAAACGTCATGGCGTTCACCCCCGTGTTGGCCAGTTACCAGTTAACACCAACCTGTCGTTTGTGGATAGATACAAATGTTATCTTTAGCAGGGCTTTTAGCTCTTCACCTTGACCTAACCTAACCTAACCTAACCTATCTTAACCTAACCTAACCTAACCTAACCTAACCTAACCTAACCTATCCTATCCTATCCTAACCTAACCTAACCTAACCTAACCTAACCTAACCTATCCTAACCTAACCTAACCTAACCTAACCTAACCTAACTGCAAATTTCAGGTTAAATGACAAAAAAAAGATTCTCCTGCCTTAGGTATGTTGATTGATATTCCATTAGAATTTGTCGGTTCAGTGAATTCCCGATAATTTATTAATTTATTGTTGGAGTTATTTGTCGATCTGTTAGGACCATTCAGTTGATGTAAGTAGTTTATGTGGAGTAATGATCTGACAACAGTGGTAGTGAGAGACAAGGAACACTCACGCAGGACCGTCATGAAGGCCATAGAAGCTTCAGTTCGGAAGCTCGGGTGTTCGGCGATCACCTCACAGCGGTACTGACCCGAGGCTGACACAGTCAACCTGGTCAACGACAAGGTCACCCGGTGCTCGTTCCTGAACAACTCCTGAAACATGGTAACAACAGGTAACAGTAATGATAGAAACAAAGATAATAACAATAATAATAATAATAATAATGATAATAATAATAATACCGTGGCGTACTGTACCTCAAACCCTCTTGTATCAGTAATAAAGGCGAGACAGTGTGGGGTCTTAATGGATAAATACCTTAAAGTATACAATATACAACAGTCTAGATACAACAAGAGTTTCACATAACTCTAACAGATTCCAGACAGACAGATAGACAGACAGGGCAGACAGACAGACTGATTCAATAAAATCGTCATACAAGTTTACTTTGATTCAGCATGCACAGTGTTGTATATAGCCAATTGAGGTATAGAGTAGACGGGTACTCAGATCCCCCACTATACAGGAGCCTCCACTCATAAGATACTCCTCGTTAATGTCAGAAGGTTGTCTAACACACACTGGAGGCCCCCCACACAGTGATGTTGACATAGTTGTGAGCGCTGTGACCTCTCTTGTTGACATAGTTGTGAGCGCTGTGACCTCTCTTGTTGACATAGTTTCAGGTATCTGTGAGAGGATTAACGATGCTCTCAGTAACACAGAAAGGATAGATAAACTAGCAGAGGTTAATGTGTGGCTGTGTGGTGACGTAATAGAGTGTAGACACAGCCTTTACCCAGTGGTCACTTAGTCTTCTCTCTCTTAATGTAAACCAGAATGTTGTTTTACAGTGGATGGTCATAATAAGGTTGACAAGTTTACATCCTGTATACAAGAACTCTAATAGAGCACATATTACCAAGAGTCCATATAGGTGCACCGGGTTACCAACCATCAGTTGCCGAGGAAGAGTCAAGAGATTGAAATCAATATGTGGGAAGACCAACTTATCGAAACAGGATTATATATATAAAGTGTCGAGAACTAACAAGAAACAATATAATACAGGAGCAGAAAGGACCGGCACCTGGTGACTCTATCCCTCCTGCAGTCAGTGGGTCTGTGAAAGGAAGAAAACCCTGCTTCTTGTTCTCATTATACAAGTAAGATGCAAGTTCCCGAGCCACGCCGCTCTCCCCTGGCGCTCACCAGTACTCACCTGTCTATTTTTAGAATTACATAAGAATACGATAATTACTTCTTGACACTGACGGTAGTAAATCCTCAGGACTAGACTGTGTTAATCGTCAAAACATGTGGTCAGCCACTTACCGCAGCTCCTCCAGTCTTACACTAAACTTGGCCACTAATCTTGAAGAAGTTAAGTTATTGTTGTGCACAAAACGAGAACTTTATACCAATATCTCTATCTATTGTCCAACGACTAACGTCGCACCCCGATAAGAAATAAATATTAAGGAACAAATTACTTGCTGCAGAAAAAATAAAAGCGCGACAAATTTATTACTGCAGATGACCACAAAGTAGACTAATACTCTTGACTACGGAGTGAATATATATAATTTTGTACATTACTGAAGTATTATAAATCTGATAGAGAGACAACTGTTATTTTAAGCTATTGAGACTAAAGGTAGGCGGAAATAATGTCTTAATTCGATAATCACCTCCAGTAAGTATCCGCACCGTCTAAGCCGTAATGATGTAAAGCTTCGGGTTCTTTCATGTTTATGTGTTAACATGACGTAGTTAAAATGTATCTTTTGTAATCTTTAAATATTGATGATGAACTAAACTACAACACGAGCTTAACGATCTTAATTATTAGAGCGTAGTAATATAACACTGGTGTGCCTCAGGGTAGTGTGTTACGGCCTCCACTATAAACGGTATAGTCAGTGGCCTATTAATGCCCTAGATGCGTTCCTGAAAACTTGTGCGTTAAGCTAATGAAGGTCATGAAGTGCCCAAATGCTAAGTGGTTCTGTGTTAATATCTTGGCATTATTTTTGCGATGATCTTATATTTCCGTGACATTTTTTTAATTTAATCCCACATGCCTGTTCTTATGCAGATGATTATACACTGAGTTTTAATCCCTCTTGAGGTATCGCGATCACTGGTCTGTTGGTCTGAATCTATAAAGGAGGTTAAGAAAGATGTTAAGGAGAGAAAGAGAAGTAACGAGAGATAGAGCGACAGAGAGGAGTGAGAGAGATAGAGAATGACACAGAGGGAGAGAAAAAGACCGATATAGTATAAAAGACACAGAGAAAAAAGATAAAAATATAGCTAAGGGAAGGGGATAAAGAATGACAGAGGAAGAAAAAGTAAGGAAAGAGAACAAAAGAGAAAGAGATATGGAGAGAACCAAAGAGACAAAGATAAAGACAAAAACAGATAAGAGAAAAAAAAAGAGAGACGTATAATCTATCATTCTCTCTCGTTCTTGTCTACGTGAGAATAAACAAGAGAAATAAAAATAAAAATAACTTGGAAATGAAATGAATAGGCGGCTAAGGTAAAATAGAAGGAAAATACATGAAAAGGGAAATGTGAATAGGCAAAAGTGTTGATGTTAGAGGAAAATGAGAAAGAGAAATAAAAAAATATCTCACTACACATCAAAAGGGAGAATTACAACAACTGGATAACAAGGGAGACTAAGTATGTGTGTGTGGGGGGGAGGGAGGGTGGAAGGAGGTAGAGAAGGAAGAGTGAGAGGGTGAAAAGAGGAAGAAGAGAGTGGGGGAGGAAGAGGACGACGATGAAGAAGGAGAGAATAAGAGAGGGAGAAAGGGAAAGGAGAAGAAGAGGGTGGGACGATGAAGAAGGAGAGAATAAGAGAGGGAGAAAGGGAAGGAGAAGAAGAGGGTGGGACGATGAAGAGGTTGAAAGACGCAAGAATGGAGAAAAGGGGGAAGAAGGGAGAAGGTGGAAGGAAGAGAAAAAGGTTAATATAGGGAGAGGAGGAAAATGAAGAGGGAGAGGGTGGAAAGGAGAAAAAAGAAGAGAACGGGGAGGAGATAATAGAACGCTGATAAAATTGAAGGGATTAGAATAAATACATTAATATAGAATGAATATGTAAGAGGCAGACAGACAATCAGACACACAGAGAGAGAGAGAGAGAGAGAGAGAGAGAGAGAGAGAGAGAGCGAGAGAGAGAGAGGAAATATAGATAATAGTCGCCCATAAAGACTTAAGAGACAAGAACTTGTTTATAAATCGTATTATTACTTGATACTACTCCAGATGTAATTTTAAGCCTTTCTCTCTCTCTCTCTCTCTCCTTACCCATGAGATAATTAAGATTCATTATAGTGGGTGACAAGACAAAATCCATTGCTCTGAGCTCAGTGGAAGCTCTCTGGATTCCATACATGCATAAGACACACACTTGTGATCGTGAGGCCATATGTCGTGCTATACACACACACACACACACACACACACACACACACACACACACACACACACACATCACAGCGTTAAAACCGTAAACATGAACAACTGTTGTACCTGATAATTAAACACATATCCTAACAATTGTAAACACGAAATGTATCAATTAAACACCAGCCTTTAATCCCACCAATCCCCTGGCCAATAGTTTTTCATCTTTAAAACTCACCAATCAGACACCTTCCCTTTAACCCTCTAACTTCGCCTGGCCAATAGTTAGGCATCTTTAAAAACCCAACCAATCACGCACCTTCCTTTAACACTCAACCTTCCTCTAGCCAATTGGGTGTCATATAAACACAAAATGCACCAATCAGTTGCCTTCCTAAGCTAAAGTAACAGAAACTATACCATACGGATATAGTACATTTAACTTAATGTAATTGGCTTTCAACGTAACGTAACTCAACGGAACTTAACGTAACATAGTGTACCTTAATCCTAACCTAGGCCTAACGTAAATCAACTTAAAATAATGTAACTCATATAACAAAACCTAACCTAACTCAATATTATATAAAGTAACTTAAACTAACGTATCATAACGTATCGTCACCTAAAAAAATACCTCAGGATCATTAGGTTAAGTTAGGTTAGGTTAGGTTTGGTTGGGTTAGGTTAGGTTAGGGTTTGGTTGGGTTAGGTTAGGTTAGGGTTTGGTTGGGTTAGGTTAGGTTAGGTTAGGTTTGGTTGGGTTAGGTTAGGTTAGATGGGTAATGTTAACATAGGCTGTATCCAATTCACCCCACAAACATTACCATCACCTAACCTAACCTAACCTAACCTAACCTACCATCACCTAACCTAACCTACCATCACCTAACCTAACCTAACCTACCCTCACCTAACCTTCATATAAACATCAAAGACCTCCCAACTTTTCAACCTCCCAAAACTACATACAAAGTTTTCATCAGCAACTTTGAGGCAACATTAACAGTATTTTTGCTTAAAAGTTTGTTCCTTAATATGAGATTTTTTAACACAGTGTCTTGGTGGAGTTGTGGAGTGAGAAGATTTTACCCCGAGTGAATAACAGTTAACATTGAGAGAATTATAATTAATAAAATAACTGATGAAAAAGAGATTATGAATATATGAATAATTATGATGCATAAGGGTATGGTTAAATTATCTGGTCTTTAACTAATTAGCAACTGTCAACCTCTGCATCATAGCCAGCAACACAAAACTGGCAACACAACACACACAACACACAAACTAACTTAACCTAACCTAACCTAATCTAAACCTATAAGATTGAATATATCGAAATGAAATAAAATTAATAAACAATTTATAAACGAAAGTATGAAAATAGGATTATTTAGAATATGAATGAATGAAAGAATGAATGAAAGAATAAAAGAATGAAATCCAAAACAAAGACACAATAACTAACGAATGAAAATAAATGAATAAGTGAATAAAGATAGAAAATTACAACAGCAAAAAGGAATAAAAAAGAAAAAAGAAAAAATAGAATAAATTAATAAAAAAAATAATTGTATGTCTCTTCAAATTAATTAATCATATATACAGGTAGTTATTAATTAATTGCTGAGGTACATGAATTTAGAGAAACAATAATTACACGTCATAGATGGGGATTAATTATACAGCAAATGACGCTTGATACTGAGTGACTTGGAGAGAGAGA